ATAAAAATTACTGAAATGTCCATATTTTATTCTTTGATTAGAAAAAATTCTAATCTTCTTAAAAGTTAAAAGTACAATTATACACTTATCTTTTCCCTTTAAGTTACACAACTTTCTTCCTTCTATAATCTATCCTATCTAATAATCAAACCCATAAATCTTACATTCATTTTTTTTGTTTTACACCAAAAGCCCATAGGAGGTTACCAGTTGGCAATAAATGCACAGATAGTCTTTTCTCTAATCAAAGAATAAAATTTGGACATTTCAGTAAGTTTTATCATCTTCACCAGCCATTCCTCCATGTTCCTCTATTGCCAAGTCTTTCCATTTTTGTGCATTCAATAATCTAGTTGTGGTTTATCACACACAAAAATAAACTTCCATGACTTTTCCTGCTGCTTCAGTACCAAAAGGAAAACTTCTGTTCTCAATTGTATATTAATCTTTAAAATCCTCTGAATCAGTGTTTGTATTTGAATCTAACATTTACATGTTCAGCAAGAGAAAACAGGATAAAATGACCCTTCATGTTGTTTGAATTTCCTACATAAGTTTGAAATGCCTTTATACATTCTAGACCTTTTCTCTGGTGTCATATACAACAATACATTATTTTATAAATGTTATCTTTAAGATTATAACATACTGCAGTGTTTCAGTCCTTTTAACTACATTACCCACTGTCTGATCTCTTTGTTATAACCAAACATTTTAGCCTGCATTATCTTACATGCTTCACTATTCTTTCATTTGTTCTTCTATTTCAAAGTTCAATAAACATTTATACTTTTTAGCAATTGCATGTTCATCATTTGTGCACAATTCTATTTCAAAATCAGGCTTACACTGTTCAGTGTAATAGACAAGATAGATTTGTTGAAGATCTGTGATTATTTTTTCTTGGATGGGCATTTTGTAAAATAATTTGTCACTACTATATAGATAGCCTATGACTTATGAACCCAGTGGAGACAGGAATCTCAGATGTTGAGTGAAGAAGTCATTGAGTCAGATGCCATATGACTACTTCGCTCAACAACCATAATCTTGGAACCCCTGGCTGCCGTTATTAAGCAAACTTGTGAGTCCGAGGTAAGGAACACAGAAGCATAAGAGGTAAGGTGGGGTGGAGGAGATCCTAGGAAGCCCAGCACAGGCAACAAATGATACCTCTCTGCTAAACTGCTGAACCCCCCCCCCCATGAAAATCCAAACAGCCCCTGAGAAAAGAGACACCTGTATGTGACTTTCACTGGCTCTACTACCCTTCTGAGACACACCCTGCATTGCCTCTCTGCTTTTGAACTCAAAATTGTCCCTGCCAAATTCCAAACTAGATTTTCAGTCCTTGAGCAGGGAGACCTATGCAACCTGAGCCAGGCTTCCCAGGATTTCTCCCCCTTCCCCGGAGTCACACCACAGTGTTACTTGATTCAGAGGATGAAAATCCTGCTTGGATTTGGGCTCCCTCTTATCTTTGGAGGGGTGGTGGCAGCTGAAAGAGCTGTCTGCCAAAAGCTTTCAACTCCATGCAAGCAGGCACAAAGGATTTCAGCTTAAGTCATTTTTCCCTTCTTCCCTTTTAAAAAAAAAAGTCCTATTTTTCCCAAAGGACCTTAATACCTGTTCTGATTTTTCTCAGCTGCTAATAAACATATACAACTGATGTCCTGGCAATCATCTTTTTCATTTGTTATTAATCTGTTCAATAGGAACCATCAGGGGTGGGTTTCTGCCAGTTTTAACCTCTTCTATAGAAGAGGTTCCACAAATTTACAGTGCCNTAAAAAACAGTCACAATTAAAGAATAACTATAAACACACACATACAAAACAAGAGAGAATAATGCTAACTACAGTAAGGGAGCCATTGCATACTTTTCTCATTCTCCTGGTACTTGCAGTCGTGATAACATAGCCAAGTCTTGAGGGACTTGTGAAATGTTCAGAAAAAGTCAATGTATATGAGGGATGGAGCTAATCTCACTTCCAGGGAGAAAAGTTACTACAAGGCAGGTACTGAGACAGAGAAGGCCCATCTTCTCGGACTTGCCTAATATAATTCTTTTTTTTCCCCTCTGGCAGACACAGTATACTGTCTCTGTTAAACCTAATAGCATGGAGCAGATGAAAAGGGGAGAGACATTCTCTCAGATAACCCAACCCCATGTCATGAAGGACCTTATCTGGCCATCTCAAAGGATTGACAGACCTTTTCCCCCTTCAAACTGTTTTTTCCTCAAAATGTATCTTTTTCTCATTGTGGCATATAGGTGTTTCCTGTATTGTGATCTAGGTGCATTGCTCAAGAGTGATTAAGGAGTTTTATGAGAGGATACAGACTTTAATGTATGTATTTATACACACACGGATAAAATCAAGGTTAGATATTAGTTATGAAATAAGTTCCTGCATTCTTATTTCGTCTTCCTGCTGTAAACTGTCTGGAGTTGCTCAACTAAATGGCATAGATGTGTTGGAGATAATTAGGTAAGTAACTAATATATAAATAGCTTCCCATATGTTCCAGTCCTCTAAAGATATTTGAACAGCACATTTAACTGGCTTAAAAATAGCAGTGCTGATGATATATCAAGCAAACTCTACAGGGAAAGTAACTTTTTAGGGAAGATGGTCCATGTAAATTAATATGAAAATGTTTTTGTTTTTAAGTTTCAATTTAAAAATGATTTTACTCTTTATTTATTTATCTCCCCACCCTCCAATTTCTTTAGGTCTTGCAGTTGGGCTCGGAAATCCTCCCGCAATACAAGCAAGAAGCACCAAAGACTCCACCACATATCATTTTACATTATTGTGTTTTCAAGACTACTTGGGACTGGGTGATTCTGATTTTAACTTTCTACACTGCAATTTTAGTCCCTTACAACGTCTCTTTTAAAACCAAACAGAACAATGTGGCCTGGCTGGTAGTGGACAGCATCGTAGATGTCATTTTTCTGGTAGACATTGTGCTTAATTTTCATACCACATTTGTTGGGCCTGCTGGAGAAGTGATCTCTGATCCAAAGCTGATCCGCATGAATTACTTGAAGACCTGGTTTGTAATTGACCTTCTCTCCTGTTTGCCATATGATGTGATCAATGCATTTGAGAATGTTGATGAGGTGAGTCAATGAATTTTGTTTCCACATTATTTTAAACCATGAACCAAAACAGAATGAAAAGAGACCAGTTTTCTGGATTTTTACCAGCTGCTCTCTATTCACATTATATGCTTACCTTAATGCTTTTTTACCATCCTATATTGCAATTATTAATTTATAATAACTTCAAATATAGTCTATGTTTCCTGTGAAATTTACTTACTTTTAGGCTCAATCATTTTCTTTAGGATTTTGAAATAAAATTGTAATATGTATACATACATAGGTGAAATAATATGGAAATGTTTGTGGTGCAAGAGAGCATTAAGGTAAGCATATAATATGAACAGAGAGCAGCTGGTAAAAATCCAGAAAACTGGCCTCTTTTCATTCTGTTTTGGTTCATGGTTTAAAATAATGTGGAAACAAAATTCATTGACTCAC